AAAAAAAAAAAAAAAAAAAAAATATATATATATATATATATATATAGCTCAATGAAGTTCACAAATGGAATACAACTATATAACCAACCAAACTCCAGCTAAAGGAACAAAACATCACCAGCAACTCAAAAGCCCTCTGAGTTTAGTCAGTAGCCCTCCAAAAAAACCAGTATCTTGATTGCTAACATCAGAGATTAGTTTTGCCTGTTTTTCAATCCTACTATATGTGCTTTTGGTGTCTTGGCTTCTTTTGCTCAATTTTGTATTGTGAAATTCACCCATACTGTTAAGTGTTATAAATAGCTTATTTTCATTGCTGTATAGCATTCCATTGTGTAAATATAATTGTGCTGCCAATTGGCATTATGTGATGTCTTTATTTTATTTATTTATTATTTAGTCGGAGTCTCACTCTGTCACCCAGGTTGGAGTGCAGTGGTACGTGCATGGCTTCTGCAGCCTTGGCCTGCTGGGTTCAGGCGATCCTTCCACCTAAGCCTCCCACCTAAGCTGAGACTACAGGTGCATGCCACGACACCCGGCTAATTTTTTTAAAATTTATTTTAGAAACGAGATCTCACCAAGTTTCCCAGACATAAGCCTGGAAATTAAATTAGGGCCAGATGTGGTGGCTCATGCCTGTAATCCCAACACTTTCGGAGGCAGAGGTGAGAGAATTGCCTGACCCCAGGGGTTCAAGACCAGCCCAGGCAACTTGGCAAGACCTGTCTCTACAATAAATCAAAAATTAGCGGGGTGTGGTAGCATGTGCCTGTAGTTCTGGCTACTTGGAAGGCTGAGGCGGAAGGATCCCCAGGGCCTAGCAGGTTGATGCTGGGGTGGCCATGAGTATGCCACTGCATTCCAGCCTGGGTGACAGAGTGAGACTCTAACTCAAAAAAAAAAATTTTTTTTTTTTTGCCCTAGCCTTTCTTTCTGCTTGGAATGCTCTTACCCCTGATGGTCATATGGCTGGCCCCTCCTACTAATTCAGATTGCTTCAAGTCTCAGAATGAACTTCCCCAAGCAACCACTGTAAAGTAGCCTTTTCATCACTGTAACATATTATTTCTCCAATTCTTTGTATGACACTTATCAGATTTAATTGTTTTACTTGCTTTTAATTGATTACATATTTCCCCTTCTAGTCTTCCAAATGGAAGACTAGTCATTGAGTAATGACTGCTCCTTTTGACAAGTCATGACTGTCCAGTTTGTTTCTGTCCCTACCACTCTGTGCTGTACTTGCCCTACCTCCCCACGTATGCTGCCATGGTCTATCTTGTCACTATTCTGTCTTCAGACCCTAGAGTAGTGCTTGTTTGCTTTGAGCTCCTACTCCATTTAGGAATAAACGAATGGCAGGGGCACTCTGTGAGCAAGCTCTGTAACTTCTCTGGGTCCCTTCTCTCTATCTACAATCAAAGGGTCCCCAAACTGGGAGGGACCTCAGAGTTCAGCTAGTTTAACCTCCTCTAACAGTCACAGCAAAATCAAATAGATTACTTATTAAGATGCAAATTTCTGAACCCCACCTCAGACCTTCTAAGAATCTCTGATGACAAAGCCTGAGAATCTGAATTTTGACAAGTTCACAGAGATCCTGATGCTCCCTAAGGTTTGAAAGCTGGTGTCAAATTCGATGCATAAATAAACGCAGGATCAATACCAATTTTTTTCTTTGGACTCAGCCTCCAATGTGCCTAATTGTTACTCTATTTATTTAAAATTCTGATATCTTGTTCATCGTGGATTTTTTTTTTTTTTTTTAAACATTGTCTTGCTCTGTCATCCAGGCTAGAGTACAGTGATCACAGCTCACTTCAACCTGTAACTCCTGGGCCAAGTAATGCTACCACCTTGATCTTTTAAAAAAAATTAAAAAAAAAAAAAGATATAGCCGGGCTTGGTGGCTCAGCCTGTAATCCCGTGCTTTAGGAGGCCGAGGTGAGTGAATTGTCTGAGCCTGCGGGTTCGAGACCCACCTGCGCAGCTTGGCGAGACCTCATCTCTACAATAAATCAAAAACTAGCCGAGCGTGGTAGTGCGCGCCTATAGTTCCAGCTACTTGGAAGGCTGAGGCGGAAGGATCGCCGGAGCCCAGCAGGTCAAGGCTGCGGTGGCCGGGAGCGGCCACTGCACTCCCGTCTGGGCAACGGAGTGAGACTCCAACTCAAAAAAACAAAAGATATACTTACATTTATGTAGGTGGCTCACACCTGTAATCCTAACGCTTTGGAGGCTGAGTTGGGAGGATCCCTTGAGCCCAATTGTTTGAGGTCAACCTGAGCAACATAGCAAAACCCTTTCTCTACTATATAAATAAATAAATGAACAAACAAATAAATAAAATAAGAAATGTAGCAGGTTCAAGTCTTATTGCTGTACCTGGACTAAATATTGAGTCATAACCATTTTCAAGAGAAAATCTAATTTCTTAGTGGAGAGTTCACCAAGTTGAGCAGTGGTGGATTTAGGGGCATTTCAGCTCAACAAAGAACTTGAGGTCCGTGTTAAATTTTATGTCAACAAGGTGAAATTTGTGTTTGCTGGATTGTAAAACACAGGGCTTGATCCAGGACAAAGATCACAAATCAATCCTATGAGCAGATGTGTTTTCTTTAGTCAACATAGTATTTTCTTTTCTTTTGCATTTTTGACAGTATTTTCTTAAAGTTTTAATTCGTGTCCAACATTAAAAAACCAGATTTTGGATTTCCAAATTCTCTTGAAAAATGGAAACACTTGGGTCCACATGCACACAATGTAACAGCTGGAGTTGAGTAATCACACCTTTTCCAGTTTATTTTCGACCCTAGAACTCTCTACTGTGCTCGCCCCACCTCTTCATATATGCTGCCACTGTTATGTCTATTTCGTACTGATTAGTCAGCAACCTGGCCTTGCAACTTCTTGGCTCATCAGAGAATGAGTAGCTGCAAAAGGGAGCAGATCAGGCTGTGCTTCTGGGCATAAGATTCTCATTTATTCCTCCCTAGTGAGGCCTGTAACCAGGCACCCATTTTATGGATGAATGAACAAAGAAAAGTAACATGCAGACTGAGTTAGGGCTGGGACCCAGGACACAACCTATCTGCTTCAGAATGATGCCCCTTCCCTGTGAATTGGCGGTCTCCTTTCTGCTTGGCTTTGTTAGGCCTTGAGCCCAATTGTTTGAGGCCAACCTGAGCAACATAGCTGGGGTCCATGTTAAATTTTATGTCAACAAGGTGAGCAGGGTATTTTCCTCCATTGTTAAGCCCTCTGTTGGTCTGTGCTCTTAAATGGCACTTGGTCCTACATGGCAGCTCCTAGGTGACTATTTTAGGGATTTTTAGTGAGGCTGCTTAACCAGAAACAATTGCTGTCAAATATTATTGTGGAAAATAGACTGTCACCCATTCTGCTTCATTAAATTAATGGGGAAGGTGTTTACTCCTGATCCTGACACGCAGCCATGCCCTTAGGATTAATGGAATGTCCTGGGTAGTCATAAGAGCAGTGATGTCTTGCTGCCCTCATTTACTGATAGAGTCAGTCTGGACAGAACAATGTTTTCCTTCTTTCTTTCCATATCTGTCTCACCGTCAAGACTCCAATTCTGCAGTACCACTTCGTGGACCAAGGTCTTGTGGCACTATGGGTGGTCTCTGTCTCGCAGTCCAATAGTGAAATTCCATGCACTCATCCCACTCACTAAAACCATGGGTAACAAGATCTCAGATCCCTTGGGGAAATGGCATGTTTCTAAAACCACAGAACACCTACTGTGGATCTATTTACTACCCACAGGGCAAGGCACTGTGCTGGGCGGCTTGCAAGGGAAAGACCATCCTGCCCAATCTCCAGCGTGCTGCCACATTTAAAATAATAATTTAGTATGTCCCAATGTGGGGTGTCGGTAAATTGGTGGGAACAGCCCCAACAATGCAACCAGATAATGTTAGCAAGTTCTGGGCAGTAGTTTATAACCCTAATTTGTTACAAGTCAGTTCTAATAAACTTCTTTCTTCCTCTGTACCTAGTGTCTCCCGCAGTCCTTCAAGTGGAAGGACGAGTTAAAGCCCACGTGGAGCAAATGGCATGCTTGGTTCTGATCAGATTCTCCCCTCCTCCTAGAGATGTTGACTTGGTAGTGGCCTGGCTGTAGGTTGTTGTGTGACTGTGTGGGGACCTGGGAGCCGGGAGACGCTTGAGTGGCCAGGCCGTTGCTGGCACTCAGTTCTACATCGGTTCGGACGCTGTATTAGGCACGGAACTCAGTCCCTCGAGGGACCCGGGGGGTTCCTCCTCCAGTTCCCTAGCCTCGGATGGACCCGCGCGCGGGGCAGCGGTGACCCCGCCCCGCCCACACGCTCACCTCCACCTCCCGGCTCACCTCCACCTCCCCGCAGGGCCCCGGCCGGTGCGCACAGACGACACTCACCGGCTCCGAGCGGCAGCGGCAGCAGCAGCAGCA